CCCGGGAGGTTTTTCCTGAGCAGGGGAGGTCTCCAGGAGGACCAGGGGAGGTTTGCCGGAGGCCTCCCCCCAGCCTGGGGGGAGGCCTGCAGGGTCGAATCGACCCGCATGTTAGGGTCAGCCCGTCCCGACTCGTCTCGATTGTTAGGGTCCGCCCTCTTGGCCCGACCCGATCCGCTCGTTCGGGTACTCGCGTGACAGGTCGACGATGTATTAAATTTTATAACCCGCCCGATCCGACCCGACCCGACCTCACCCACCCATTAGGGCCGGCCCGCCCGCCCGGCTTGACCTGCCCGTTACGGTGCGCCCGCGCGGTCCGACCCGTTCTGCTTGTAAGGGGCCCTTAAGTGCAGCGGGTCTGCTCCTCCTTCGGGGTTTAGGGTTTAGGGTTTAGGGTTTAGGGTTTAGGGTTTAGGGTTTAGGGTTTAGGGTTTAGGGTTTAGGGTTTAGGGTTTAGGGTTTAGGGTTTAGGGTTTAGGGTTTAGGGTTTAGGGTTTAGGGTTTAGGGTTTAGGGTTTAGGGTTTAGGGTTTAGGGTTTAGGGTTTAGGGTTTAGGGTTTAGGGTTTAGGGTTTAGGGTTTAGGGTTTAGGGTTTAGGGTTTAGGGTTTAGGGTTTAGGGTTTAGGGTTTAGGGTTTAGGGTTTAGGGTTTAGGGTTTAGGGGTTTAGGGTTTAGGGTTTAGGGTTTAGGGTTTAGGGTTTAGGGTTTAGGGTTTAGGGTTTAGGGTTTAGGGTTTAGGGTTTAGGGTTTAGGGTTTAGGGTTTAGGGTTTAGGGTTTAGGGTTTAGGGTTTAGGGTTTAGGGTTTAGGGTTTAGGGTTTAGGGTTTAGGGTTTAGGGTTTAGGGTTTAGGGTTTAGGGTTTAGGGTTTAGGGTTTAGGGTTTAGGGTTTAGGGTTTAGGGTTTAGGGTTTAGGGTTTAGGGTTTAGGGTTTAGGGTTTAGGGTTTAGGGTTTAGGGTTTAGGGTTTAGGGTTTAGGGTTTAGGGTTTAGGGTTTAGGGTTTAGGGTTTAGGGTTTAGGGTTTAGGGTTTAGGGTTTAGGGTTTAGGGTTTAGGGTTTAGGGTTTAGGGTTTAGGGTTTAGGGTTTAGGGTTTAGGGTTTAGGGTTTAGGGTTTAGGGTTTAGGGTTTAGGGTTTAGGGTTTAGGGTTTAGGGTTTAGGGTTTAGGGTTTAGGGTTTAGGGTTTAGGGTTTAGGGTTTAGGGTTTAGGGTTTAGGGTTTAGGGTTTAGGGTTTAGGGTTTAGGGTTTAGGGTTTAGGGTTTAGGGTTTAGGGTTTAGGGTTTAGGGTTTAGGGTTTAGGGTTTAGGGTTTTAGGGTTTAGGGTTTAGGGTTTAGGGTTTAGGGTTTTTAGGGTTTAGGGTTTAGGGTTTAGGGTTTAGGGTTTAGGGTTTAGGGTTTAGGGTTTAGGGTTTAGGGTTTAGGGTTTAGGGTTTAGGGGGCTGCCGGAGGCCAAGACAGCCCGCTGCACTTAAGGGGCCCTTAAGTGCAGCGGATCTGCTCCTCCTTCGGAGGGGCTCCCGGAGGCCAAGACAGCCCGCTGCACTTAAGGGGCCCTTAAGTGCAGCGGATCTGCTCCTCCTTCGGGGGGGCTCCCGGAGGCCAAGGCAGCCCGCTGTACTTCAGGGGCTCTTAAGTGCAGCGGATCTGCTCCTCCTTCGGGGGGGCTCCCGGAGGCCAAGACAGCCCGCTGCACTTAAGGGGCCCTTGAGTGCAGCGGATCTGCTCCTCTTTCGGGGGGGCTCCCGGAGGCCAAGACAGCCCGCTGCACTTAAGGGGCCCTTAAGTGCAGCAGCGGGTCTGCTCCTCCTTTGGGGGGGGGGGGCTCCCGGAGGCCAAGACAGCCCGCTGCACTTAAGGGGCCCTTAAGTGCAGCGGATCTGCTCCTCCTTCGGGGGGGCCCCCGGAGGCCAAGACAGCCCGCTGCACTTAAGGGGCCCTTAAGTGCAGCGGATCTGCTCCTCCTTCGGGGGGGCTCCCGGAGGCCAAGACAGCCCGCTGTATGTAAGGGGCCCTTGAGCCTTCAGAACACCAGATCTGCTCCCCTTTGCGGGGGCCTCCCGGGGCCCCAGACAGTCCGCCGTGCTTCAGGGGCCCTTAGGGTTTAGGGTTTAGGGTTTAGGGTTTAGGGTTTAGGGTTTAGGGTTTAGGGTTTAGGAAGTCTCGAGCGACAGTGCCCGAGTTGTGAGGACGTCTCGAGCGGCGGCGCTTTCTGCGGACACCTCCAGAGAGCCCAAAGCCGTCCCCCCCTTCCTTCCTGCCGACCCGTCCGGATCCAAGGGGTAGGAGGGAGTGGACGAGGAACCGATGGAAGAGGCCTCCCCCCAGCCTGAGAGGCGCCTCCCGGAGGCCTCCCCCTAGCCTGCGGGGGGGCCTCCCGGAGACCTCCCCCAAGGCTGGGGGGAGGCCCCCCAGGGAGGCCTCCAGGAGGTCTGGGGCAGGCCTGGGGGGGGCCTCCCCCCAGCCTGGGGGGAGGTCCGGGGGGGGAGATCTGGTGGAGGCTTCCCCCAGGCCTCCCAGAGGCCTCCCCCAGCCTGGGGGGAGGTCTCCGGGAGGCCTCCCCCAGACCTCCGCGAGGCCTCCCCCAGGCCTGGGGGAGGACCAGGGGAGGCCTGCCGGAGACCTCCCCTGGTCCTCCCGGAGACCTCCGTCGTCCACGAGCCCTCCTCCGACGGCCGCGACCCCAGACCTGGGGGAGGTCTGGCGGAGGCCTCCCCCCAGACCTGGTGGAGGACCAGGGGAGGTCTGGTGGAGGCCTCCCCTACCTCGCCGGAGGGCCTCCTGGGAGGTCTGGTGGAGGACCAGGGGAGGTCTGGTACCAGACCTGGTGGAGGACCAGGTAGGTGTGGACCCTTACCAAACCCCCCAAGACGGACCCAGAGAGCCCTGGGACGGCTCCAGAGGGCCCGAACACGGCGGCGAAGATTCTGAAGAAGCCCCGAAGAGGCTTTCAAAGATGCATCCAAGAGCAGTTTACGAGCTCTGATCAACACGGCCCCGAAGACCCGGACGGCAATGTCGATGATGGTGACAGTGACGTTGACGATGATCACGATGAGGAGGAGGATGACGAAGAGGAAGAAGAGGAGAATATGTAGGAGAAGGAGGATGACGTGCAGAAGGAGGAGGACAAAAAGAAGGGCATGACGATGATGATGGCGACAACGATGGTTCCGAAAACGATGATCATGATGATGATAATGATGATGCTGATGATGATGATGATGCTGATGATGATGATGATGAATGATGATGATGATGATGATGATGATGATGATGATGATGATGCTGATGCTGATGCTGATGCTGATGATGATGATGATGATGCTGATGCTGATGTTGATGATGATGATGATGATGATGATGATGATGACGATGACGATGACGACGACGACGACGATGATGCTGATGCTGATGCTGCTGATGATGATGATGATGATGGTGATGATGATGATGACGATGATGATGATTGTGGTGGTGGTGGTGATGGTGATGGTGATGATGGTGATGATGATGATGATCATCATGATCATGATGAAAATGATGAGGAGAAGGAGGAGGACGAAGAGGATGTGACGATGACGATGACGATGATGCTGGTGATGCAGGTGCTGCTGATGATGCTGCCGATGCCGATCAAGCGCTGACGGCGGTGCGCTTTCTTGAGGAAGGTGCTGAAATCAAATGCGATTTCTTCGGCGGCGTTGCCGCGCTCATCCGCCAGGATGTTGCATGGCATTGCGGAGGCTTTGGCAGCGATTGCGGATGTTTTGTGTGCGATGAGGAGGAGGCGAGAATGAGGAAGAGCAAGGTGGATGAGCATGAGGAGGAGGCTTCTCGATGGCTTCTTGAAGCATTGTGGGGCCAAACTTGGTCGTGGAGACGGTGCCTCCGTGGGGCCTCTTGGGAGCCTCTTCGAAGCTTCTTGGGGGCCTCTGGGGGGCCTCTTGAGGGCCTTTTGGGGGCCTCCGTGGGCCTCTTGAAGGCGCGTTGGCGACCTCTCCGGGCCACAAGCTCGAAATGTCCGTTCGGGTGCCCTGTCTCGGCTCGCTTTTAGAGCTGTCTTGGAGGCGTCTTGGACCATCTTGGAGGTCTCTGGGACTGTCTTGGGGCCCTCTTGGGCTTATCTTGGCGGCTTGGCCGTCTTGGGGCGATCTTGGGGGCCTCTTGGGCACGGTTGGACGCTGTGAACCCCAGACGTCGTATATGCGAAAGATGTACGTTTTCCTTAGGGAATGGGACGACTTTTGTTTTCTGGAGCCCTCTTGGGGAGTCTCTTGAGGCACTCTTGGGGCTTCTCGGCGGCCTCGAGGGACGTATGAAGGCCATCTTGGACGTCTTGGACCGCTCGTTCGGTGACTCGGAGCGCTTTTGGGCTGACTTGGAGGCCTCTTGGGGCCCTCTTGGCGCGCTCTGGGGGGCCTCAGAGACCGCACCCAGGAGGAAAACCCTCTCAGAGTAAAGGGTGGCCGGGCTGCGTCCGGGCGGGGTATTTTTCGCCGGGGGACCCCCAGGGGCCGCCCCGATGTTGTTAACCAGTTACCAAAGATTTTAGCACGCCTCTGGCCTGCTGGGTCGGCGGATTTCAAAAACCATGCGTCTTCTCATGCTGTGCTGTCGCTAAGGGGCCGTATGTCATTGTAGTTTGCTTTAGGTGTTTCAGCGTTTTCTTATCTGTCGCCTATGTGGATGCCCGTTCGTTCTTCTTTGAGCGTTTTAGGGGGATTATGTAGTGGCTGCGGGGCCCTCCCCAGCTCGTTTCTGGTACAGGCCATCCAGCGCTCATCAGGCTCATGAGGGGGTTGCCTCCGAAGTCGGGCATGCATTTCCCACCTGATTGGTGTCGGCATCGCGGCAAAGCGTGCAGTTGGGATCCGCAACACATGCTGAATGCTGAACCCCTCCTCCCTCCCTCGTCCTTCTTCGTTCCCCTTCCTACTCTCGTCCATTTATGACCCCTCTCCTGCCGTCTCCTCCGCGCCCCTGTCTGCCCCCCCCGAGGCCAGGCCGCCATGGTGGCGCTGCCATCGGAGGCGGAGTCTGCTATCTGGAGCAGGCACCAGCCGTTCTGGTGCTTCGCGAGCGCCGACAACGGGCGCGGGGGAGGGGGGGGTCAGCACGGTGAAGAGCGATCTTCAGAGGAGGAAGAGGTACCGATACCGCCACCTTTGCCTCGTTTTCGCCTTTTCGGGCCGCCTGGGAGGCACTCATTGCCACCGCTGGATTCGCCTCGAAATTCTGGTCAGAACGCACCATGGGAATAGTTTCCGGGTCAAGTATTGACCACAAGCAGGGCATAGAACAAGCAAGAGGCCGCAGGTGAGCCAGTTACAAGGACGATGCCGAGAGGTTTTAAGGCCATCAGGATGCGGCCGCACATGAAGCACGCGGGGCGGAACTTACTTTGGCACTCCTTCCAGTGAGATGCTCGCCATATTTTCCTCGTCATCCCTCCTGCTGCTGGTTCTGTTGCTGCTGCTCAGCCTGCTCCACTCCCTCTCCTCCTCCTCCTCCTCCTCCTCCTCCTCCTCCTCCTCCTCGTCCTCGTCCTCCTGCTCTTTTGTACACGTGGAGGGGGGCGGGAGGAAGTAAGCAAAGGAGTAGAAACCAGCATTTAGCATAGGCTTTTCGGCATCTAGGAAACAATCACCGCGCAAGTTGATCGAACATGATTCGGGGAGCTTGGATGTTGACTGCGGAAACGGTCATACAGACAACCTTGGCAAAACCGAGTCGAGTTTTGCGAGAGCACCCCACCATGGCACAAGTATAATCAGAAGCCAATCGCGTCATGCTAACAGAGGCGATTCGGAGAGCTTGAATCCTGACTGCGATTGTGCAGGGAGCCCCTGGCGGGCGCGATGCGACTATGGAGAGAGCATCCCGCTAGGGCACCTAGACATTCGGACATGCTTGCGAAGATGGACGCATCTTCGTGTTCCATAGATAGTGCTACCACTCACAATATTTGAGCACGCTGTCATCACAGTACGCATTGCCCTGAGCAGCTAAGTTGCATTGGCCGGCGTGTTCAACCGAGGTGAAATCGATATGTGTTCAACCAGCTACAGAAGTACATCGATCGATGCATCTGGGGTGTCGGAAACACCGACGGTTCGCCTGGGTACGTGTGCACTGTTTGCACTGTTGCCCAACGAGTGGAAGTCGCAGGCCAAGCCAGCCAGTCACACGATCAGGATCCACTTCTGGACCAGGTCTTCGCCATACTTGATGCAGGGCGAAGGTTCGACATGTTCGGACACTCTCTCGCGAACGCCTACGCCGTCCGCTGTACTGCCGATCGGCGCGTGCTTTGGCGTGTCGTGCCGTGCTGGCCCTCTCTCCTTGTCGCCGTTGGCTCGCGCCGGTCCGCGGCCCTGGCTGCTCCCCCCGCTCGGCTCTGCTGTTCCTCCCTCCTGTTCGTCGCCCCTCTCTCCCCTGCCCGCCGCGTCGGGTGTGCATCGCCCCGCCTCGACGCCGTGGAGAGTTGACGGCGGCGCGTGGCATTTGCCCTGACAGGTAGCCACGGCGGGGGTCCACGGTCCCCTCGGAGGCCGTGTCACGAGGAGTCGAGGAGGAGTCGAGGAGGAGGAGGAGGAGGAGGAGGAGGAGGAGGAGGAGGAGGAGGGAGGAGGAGAGGAGGAGGAGACGAGGTGGAGGATGGTGTGGAGAAGAAGGTTCCGCGACGGCGCGGAGGGGTTCCGAGACGCCACCGCCCGACGGCGGCAGCCCACGTCGCGCGCTGGGCAGGCAGGCGGGCCCTCTGCAGCGCGGTCGGCCAGGGCATCCGTCCTCCTCCTCCTCCTCCTCCTCCTCCTCCTCCTCCTCCTCCTCCTCCTCCTCCTCCTCCTCCTTTTTCCTCCTCCTCCTCCTCCTCCTCCTGTCTCCGCGCAGGGCCCAAAGAGCTGCCGGTAGCCACTGCGGCACGACCCCCCAACGCCTGATCCTGGTGATCCTCCTCCTCCACCTCCTCCTCCTCTGCCTCCCCCTCCCCTTCCTCCTCCTCCTCCCTCCTCCTCCTCCTCCTCCTCCTCCTCGTCCTCCTCCTCCTCCTCCTCCTCATCCTCCTCCTCCTCTTCATCCTCCTTCTCCTCTTCAGTTCCGTCTCCTTCCTCCCGAGGTCTAGTGCGGGACGTCGTCGTCGTCGTCGTCGTCATGCGTTTGCCTCCTCCTCCTTCTCTTCCGCGTCCTCCTCCCATTCCTTCCATCCGAAGGTTTGACCTTTGGGACGCAGCCCAGCGGCAATGCCGTCGGTCTCACATTCATTCCATGTGCAAGTCCCCACTCGAGGCTTTGGCCTCGAAGACGCAACTCGGCAGCAATGCCGGCGGTTTGTCATATAATGCACTTGCGTTTCCCCAGCTTGTTGTTGATGTGACGTATGACCTCGTTGTGAAAGGGAGTGATGTTGAGAGCGCGGTAGCTTTTCGTTTCGTGGGTTAATCTTTCCCAGCGATTCCGCCTCAATATGAGATGATGGCATCCAGGACAGCTTGGCGGCAATGCCAGCGTTCTGGTGCATTTGCTACCTGCGTTTGTCCACTTCGTGAACGCGCGCCGATGGCGTGAAGGGGGTTTTCGCTTTTAGCCTGGTAGGTCTTTCGTTCGTGAGATTACCCTGGTTCGAGGGCTTGACCTCCAAGACAGCCTGGCGGCAGTCCTGGCGGTCTTGCGCGCGTGGCACATGTGTGTGTTACCCGTCTGTCGTTGCTGTTGCGTTCGCTGCTGGTGCCAACGCCCAGCGAGTTGCTGCTCGCGAGCCAGCTTCTGCTCCGCCTCCAGGCGTCGGAGGGGGGGCCTGGGAGCGGGGGGGCGCCGCTCCACGACGATCTGCCCCCCCGCCGCGGGCAGGGGCGCCCGGGCATCGGCGCCGCGGCGGACGCGCGCCCGCCCGCGCGCTCCTCTCAGCGCGCGCGTGCTTCCAGCTCGCGCTGTACCTCTCTCTCCGACCTCCCCCCCACTCTGTGTTCCTTCGCGCCCCCCATCCCTGCCGCCCCGGCAGGACCGCGGGTGCCGACGCTCCGGGCAGGATGGCGGCCCGGGGTCGGAGGTCGGCGCGGCGGCCTCGCCAGGCACGTCCACGCCGGGATCGGCTCGGGGCTTCTGCGGGGCGATCCCGAGCGGCGAGGCCGGGAAGCTGGGCCCACCGACGGGGCCCAGGGCGCCCCCAGAGGCCGCATCGCCTCGCGCCCTCCTCTTCGCCCTCTGCCTCTCCCCCTCCCCTTCCTCCTCCTCCTCCTCCTCCTCCTTCTCCTCCTCCTCCTCCTCCTCCTCCTCCTCCTCCTCCTCGTCCTCCTCCTCCTCATCCTCTTCGCCACACCCCCTCGCCTTCCTCATCCTCCTCCTCCTCCTCGTCCTCCTCCTCATCCTCCTCCTCATCCTCTTCGCACCCCCCCCCTCGCTGCCTCGCTGCCCCGCTGCCCCCTCCCCCCCCCCCGCCTTCTCCCCAGGGGGGGGCGGGCGCCCCGAGGGGGCGGCGCAGGCCGGGGGAGGCGACAGAGAAGGAGGGGGCGGGGGGGCGGGGGACGGGCGGGGATGAGGGGGGCGGGGGACGGGCGGGGAGGGCGGGACTTCCAGGACAGACGGGGATGGGGATGAGGCCGGAGGGGACGGGGGACGGACGGGGATGGGGACGTGGACGGGCGGGGAGGGCGGGGAGGGGCGGCGCGGGCAGGAGGGCTGGGGCGGGGACGCGGGGACGGGCCCCGGGGGGCAGAGGGGCAGCGGGAAACGAGGGGGCGAGGAGCGGGGGAAGGGGGGTTCCCGCCCTGCCGCCCGCGTGGGAGGGCCGTCGCGTGCTACGACGTGCGGCGGGTGGTCGCCAAGGGGCCCGACGAGCAGAAGATCCTGTGGTCCCTGCAGGCCGGCGCCGCGGCGAGGGGCGCGGCTCAGCGGCACCGTAACGGGTATTCACTAACGGGCACTTTGGAAAGTTGCCGGAAGTTGCAGGGTACTTTGGGTACTTTGGAAAGTTTAAGGTCTCTTGGAAAGTTTAGGTCTCTTTAAGGTACTAACGGGTATTCAGTAACGGGTACTTTGGAAAGTTTAAGGTCTCTTTCTGGCGTTGCAGCGTTGCCCACGTCGGGGAGGGTGGGGTTAGCCGGGTCACTGGTCAGAGTACCCGTCAGTGGAGTCCCCGTCAGAGGGGCGTTGAGCGGCGCCGCGAGGCGGCGGCTCTCTTCGCTGCGAGCGGGGCGTGGCCGTGTGGTCTCGCCTCTGTCCGTGGTTTCCCGTTGCCCCCCCCCCCCCCGCCACAGCCTGCGATCAAGAGGCTCGGGGGTTCTGCGCGGTGGAGTGCCGGTTGGGGCGGGGGGGCATGTATAGATCGGCGGTTCGTACGAGTGACCCTTCGCCAGAGTGGCCTTTTGGTGCGGGCCCAGAGGGGTCCCCCCAGGCACGGGCTTGCGCGCTTGGATTTGGTCTGCCCGGGGTTCCGTAAATTCGCGCACCAAGGGTTACAGTTGTTCCTTCCCTTCTTTGAAGGCCAAAGCAGCAGGTTCCAATAACATTGCTTGACATCTTCTGGCAACTTTGGTGTGTACGAAGGAGTCCCAGAAGAAACTGGGATGTCGTTCGTGACAGCGTCGGCCTGCCCCGTGTGCTTGGTTGTGGCAGGTCGTGAACAGGATGGCCAACAACACGCCGAAACGCTGGAGGCGAACTGGACCCGGGGTGCCCGAATAGTTGGGCAGACTCAGTCCTAGACCAGATATGAGCACTTGTGTTGACATGCAGTGCTTTAAGAATCCTTCTATTCAGAGTTGACATGCTGTTGCACTTGTTGTGGTATGACAGACAAATTACTGGCTATCAGCCGAAAGTCTCTCCAAGAGCTCGGTTTCGGCGGTGCAGCATTTTGCCCATCAGCCAGAGTAGTAGCAGTGGTCGCTCTACCAAAGAAGGGGCTTCGCACGTGCGCTCTGATTGTGGTGCCCGAGAACCGGGATACGAAGTCGGCTCCGCCGTCCTGTGCTCCAGTCTGTGCTCTGGTCACGGGGGCGGGGGGGCGGACACTCAAGGAACATAGGGGCACCTGCGGCCAGTCCGCCAGGTTCCGACGGTGTCACGAAAGAGGGGGCAGTTGTTCCCCCCCTTCTATGAAAGCCAAAGCAGCAGGTTCCAATAACTTTGCTTGACATATTCTGGCAACTTTGGTGTGTACGAAGGAGTCCCAGAAGAAACTGGGATGTCGTTCGTGACAGCGTCGGCCTGCCCCGTGTGCTTGGTTGTGGCAGGTCGTGAACAGGATGGCCAACCACACGCCGAAACGCTGGAGGCGAACTGGACCCGGGGTGCCCGGATAGTTGGGCAGACTCAGTCTTAGACCAGATATGAGCATTTGTGTTGACATGCAGTTGTTTTAAGAATCCTTCTATTCAGAGTTGACATGATGTTACACTTGTTGTGATAGGACAGGCAATTTACTGTTACTCTTGCGTGTAGTCTACTGGAACGGTTTCGGAACGAATCCGAAGATTGTTTCTCGAAGTCGCTCAGAAGCAATGTGTTGCGCGAGTGTATCCAAACATTGCTTCGAGCGATGTTGGAACGAATTCGAACACTGTCTCTTGAAGTCGTTCAGAGGCAGTTTGCTGCGCGAGTTCGTTCAGACATTGTGCTTTTTGCTTTTGCGCTCGTGCCGAAGGCGTTCCCTACGGGCCATGGTTTCGTCGCCGTGCCGCATCTGGGCGGTGTCGGCTGCCCGCCCCGCGACCCGCGCGTGCTGCCCGGGGGAGGGAGTTGGGCGACTCGCAGAATCGGTGCGGCTCGAGGAGCAGCCGGCAACGACACCGACCCCGAGCCTCTCGCTGGCCGAGCGGGAGGGTTCGTCCTCTCCCGTCCCAGTTCCTCTGCCCCCCCGCCATCTGCCCCTCCCATTCCGCCCCCCGACGTCCCCCACCCAAAGACAGAGCGTGTAAACCCAATGTCGTGTGGAGGACACGGCAGTAGTGAGCACGTGGAAACAATGGGGGTTGTAGTTTCATGAGAGCAACATGGTTGGGGAGACGTCCAGAACATCCAAAGTCACGCCGCATGTGCCGCATGAGGTCTACGCCCGAAGACAGTTCGACAGCCAACCGGAAGAGCTCAATTCTCTCATCGCTAAGATCTGTTATTCGCCGATCTCTTACACGGGCACGTTTGTTGAAGTCGATGGTTATGTCGTTGCGTCCTTTGCGGGGTCCGCCGAGTCCATCTAGTACACCGAGGAGTCAATCGAAAGTTGAGTTGCCTGCCTGCAAGAATGACGTCATTGTTCCTTGTGGCGCCAATTTCTCCAGCATCATCATCATCATCAAAATCATCATCATCATCAACGTCGTCGTCATCATCAGCATCATCATGATAATCATAATGTTCATACTCATCGTCCTCGTCTTCTTCATCACCAACAACAACATAATCATCGGTACCACCATCACGATACTCACCATCATCACGTTATCATGCCATCATGCATCACGCCACATCGTCATTGCTACCATCATATACATCATTACCACCATCCCCAGCATCATAAGCAATAGCATCATTGCCATCATCATCAGCATTGAACTCCCCATTTATCATCATCAGCATCAGCATCAGCGTCAGCGTCATCATCGCTATCATCATCATTATCATCATTACCATCATGATCATCATCATCATACTCGTCATCACCACTCTAATTCTCATCATCATCATCATCATCATCATCATCATCATCATCATCATCATCATCATCGTATTCGTCATCATCAACATCACCATGAGCATCCACATGAGCATCAGCATCATCCTCACCACCATCACTATGATCATGGTCCTAATCGTCATACTCACCATCACCATCATCATCATCATCATCATCATCATCATCAACATCAACATCAACATCAACATCAACATCACAATCACCAACGGTACAGGCGGTGGTGTAGCAGGACACGGTGGCTGCTATTATGTATGAGGACAGTGGTCCTACGGCAGATCCCGCGGTGGATGCCTTTTGGAGGCCGCCATGACAGCTGGTTTGGATACGCGGGGGCGTTCTATTTGACTTGGACGTTCCAGCAGCAGCTGCATCGGAAGCAGCAGTATCTGCCACTCCTGCGGCCGCGGTAGAACGGCATCGGCGGCGCAGGCCTCTATTGACTACTGACCCGACGCGCGGTAAAAGCGAGACGGCGACAAGCGTTGTCCGTCACTCGGACGTGAGTTTGGCAGGGCATTTTGCTGGATGGGGTGATCGTGTTGGCGCATGCAGGATGGGGCCGCGTCCCCGGCTCGCCCCTCGGATCTAAGTACTAGCCCTCGCCCTCCTTGCTGTGTTCGTTGCTGTACAACTCCCCGGAGTGAAAGTCGAAAGTCCTCTGGTTCTTCCTACCCCTATTCATCTTGAGGAGGCAGCCGACGCAGGATGCCGGAGTGAGGAGGGAGGAGGGAGGGAGGGAGGGAGGGAGAGAGGGAGGGAGGGAGGGAGGAAGGGACGAGGTGGGAGGAGGGAGGAGGAGGAGAGGAGGAGGAGGAGGAGGAGAGGAGGAGAGGAGGAGGGAGGCAGGAGGAGGAGGAGGAGAGGAGGAGGAGGAGGAGCAGGAGGAGGAGGAGGAGGAGGAAAGAGAGTGGAGTGAGGATGGGGGAAAGAGGATGGCAGAGCAGGAGAAGCAGCGAGTGGACGAGGAGGAGGAGGAGGAGGAGGAGGAGGAGGAGGAGGAGGAGGAGGCTGCGCGGCGGGCCGTGGCGGGGCTGCGTTGCGCGTCGGGCCACGTGCGGGAAATTGGGGGGGGGCCCGCGCCGTTACGACACGTAGCACAACCAAAACACCAAGTTATTTCAAGCCACCTTTCGCCCCCAAAATACCTGCCGTGGTTGGCCGGTCCGCGGGCTTTCGTTCATTACGATGCTTCGCGATCGGTCATGACGAATGTGAGTTTGCTGTACCGCTCAAGTCCACGGCCGCAAAAGCAGTCAGCGTCTCCTCTCCTTGCATCGGTATCGTTTATCCCATCCCCATCCCCATCTTCAACGCCTTCAAGACCCCCACCAAATTACCACCCCAGATGGGGATGCACCCCTAGAAACCCGAAGAGAACGACCTATATCCCCATCTAGGGGGGTAAATCGGCCAGTGGGGCCCAGGCCACGCCGCTGGGGATGGGGATCGGTTAAACGGTACTCCTTGCAGCCTCGGCCTCCCTCTTCCCTCGGAGCCCCGGAGCAGCAGGGCCGGAGGCGGTCAGGGATATGGCCACAGCTGCGCGCCTCGGAGAGGCCCAAACATCAGGAGGGAAAGAAACACACAGACACAATTAATCGGCGATTCCCAGAAAATATGGGAAAATATGGGAAGTGGTGGGGAAGACAAAAACCCAGCAAATATAGGAAAATATGGGGGATATGTTTATTTGTGTGTATTTATTTGTGTGTCCCAGTTCCCCTTCAAAAACAGGAGTTTCCCCGGCCCGCATCTATCCCCGATAGCTCGGGCGTCCAACCCTCCCGAATCATCAGGGCTGGGGGCAGCTGGGGGTCGGGGTAAGTACACCTTGGGCGATGCTTAAGAAAACCTAAGTTTTCGGCCAGAGTCTCGATTATTCTTAACTTGTCAATGTAAATCCCAAGATTTTGATAGAAGTTCTGGGTTTTATTCAAGTTCTGAGACTATGAATTTCTTAACCCATGATTTCTTGAGCATTTCGCAGGGTGTACAGACTCGCGCTTCGGGGACCCAAGCCGGAGTTACCCCGGACAGCAGTTGTCTTGGATAGTTCGGGCGTCCTATTCCCGCCTCGTCCTGTTTTGCCCCAGTCCCAGGCTTCAGGGGCTCCCACGAGGGCGCGAAGTTATTCGCGCTTCGCGGTCCTCGATCCTTCTCCCCCTCCTCCTCGTCCTCCTATTCTCCCTTTGGGGGGGCGGCGCGAGAGCGCGAAGTTATTCGCGCTTCGCGCTTCGCGGAGCGCGAAGCGCGAAGTTGGGAGCCCTAGAGGCTTGCTCCCCCCGAGCGACGCCCATAAAAGGGGGGTCGTCTGCGCCGACGCTGGCGCGCAAGCTGCTCGCGTCAGGTCGCGCGTCAGCGCCCTCGCTTCCAATGCAGCGTGCCGCGCGGGCGGCCCGCGTAAGCCGCCGCGTAAGGTCGCTGTGCCCTCTCGCGTAAGACCTCCTTTTGCAAGGGCTCCCTCGAGGGCGCGAAGTTATTCGCGGTTCGCGCTTCGCGGTCCTCGTTCCTTCTCCTCCTCCTCCTTGTCCTCCTTTTCTCCCTTTGGGGGGGCGGCGCGAGAGCGCGAAGTTATTCGCACTTCGCGCTTCGCGCAGCGCGAAGCGCGAAGTTGGGAGCCCTTGTTTTGATCCTCGCTCACCTGGAACTCCGAGCGCTGCGCCCTGGGCACCTCCGCCCCGACAGCTCTTGGCCGCCGGCCGCCCCGAGCCTGCGCAGTCGCTCTGCAGTGCAGTCCCAGCTCCGTCACGAAGCGCTGCCAGCCGCGCAGAGGGGGGAGGGCTTCTTCGAAGCACCCCTGCTTCGTAGAAGGCGCGGGCCTTGCCTACAGGCAGAAGGCCGGCGCCTTCTGAGAAGCACCCCTCCCTCCAAGAAGCCCTCCCCCCTCCCTCTATACCCCCCTTGTGCGCGCCGCCAAGAAGCGCTGCCCACCGCGCACTCTTCGGCCCGCGCGCCTTCCGGGTGCTTCGCTCCGTGGCGGTGGCGCCCCCGGCGCCCGTGGCGGTGGCGCCCCCGACCGCTCCCGCCCCTGCGCGTGGCTTCGGCTCCCGACAGGCCAGTGTTCGGCCTGGAAGGCCCGCGCCACGTGCCGGCCAGCCCGGGAGACTCCGGGACGCCGACCATCCTTCTCCGCGCTCCCCCCTCTCCTCGGAGGACGACAAGGAACCGTGCCGGCACCGCTACACTCGAGTCGATGTTCGCCTCGTGTGGCCTCTTGAGAGGCCCTCGTCGCCACCTCTGGATTCGGTTCGAGGTCCTGGTCAGAACGCCCCCGGGAGAGGTCCAGGGAGTAAAGGTATCGGCACCTTTGGTGTCCAGAGTTCCCTCCCCTCCTCCCTTCCTGGGCCCCGCCACCCCTCTCCCTGCCGTTAAGTCGGGCCTGTCCCTCTACAGGAGGAATATTCTAAAATAGTCCAAGAATCGTCTGGGGACTATTTTTTGTTTTCTTTGATCATTTGGGACTATTTTCTGAATATTTGTTGTTTTTCGTCGAGAATCCGCCTGTAGGGGGACACGCCCGACTCAACCCTGCCGTCTCGCTCCCCTCAGCCCTCCGCACCTCTCACCCTCCCCTCGTCCCCCTGCAGCGCTCGCCTCGTCCCCGGTCTCCCGTCCCCCTCCCCTCTCTGTTCTCTCCCCCCCCCACCCGAGCTTGCAATGCCATGCCGGCCGCCGGCGATGCCCAGCACACCCACCCAGAAGGTGGTGGCTCGCGGTTGCGTGGTAGGGCTGGGCGGTCTTGGCCGTTTCGGTATTCGTTTGCAGCGATACGGATGCGCACATATATATATATATATATGTATATGTATATATGATGGTGATGATGATGTTGATGATGATGCTGCTGATGATGAGGATGATGATGATAAGGAGGAGGAGGAGGAGGATGAGGATGAGATGAGGATGCTGATGCTGATGATGATGCTGATGCTGATGAGGATGAGGAGGATGATGATGATGATGAGGAGGAGGATGACTATGAGTATGATGAGGATCAGGATCAGGATCAGGAGGAGGAGGAGGATGGAGATGATGATGGTGATGGTGATGGTGATGGTGATGATGATGATGATGGTGATGATTGTGATGGTGATGGTGATGATGACGATGACGATGCTGATGCTGATGCTGATGATGATGATGATGATGACGATATTGATGCTGACGATGACGATGCTGATGATGCTGTTGCTGATGCTGATGGTGATGATGCTTATCATGATGGTGATGAAGTTGATAATGCTGGTTATGATGGTGATGAATTAGATGATGCTGATTATGATAGTGATGATGATTGCGTTGACCATCTCGGAGATGATGATCCCAGCGTTGCTGATGCTGATGCTGAGGATGCTGACGGCGAAGACGGCGACGACGATGATGTTCATGTTGATATTGGTGTTGATGTTGGTGGTGATTATGATGCGAATAATGATGATGATGGTGGTCATGATGATGGTGATGGTGATGGTGATGATGGTGATGGTGATGGTGATTGTGACGGTGCTGGTGATGGTGATGGTGATGATGACGATGACGATGGCGATGACGATGTTGATGCTGATGATGATGACGATGATGACGATGTTGATGGTGATGATGATGACGATGACGATGATGCTGAGGCTGCTGCTGATGCTGATGCTGATGGTGGTGTTTATGATGATGTTGATGATGGTGATGCCGCTGATGATGATGGTGATGATGTCGATGATGCTGGTGATGTTGTTGATGATGATGATGCTGATTGCATTGGTCATCATGTAGATGATGCTGCTGGCGTTGCTGTTGCTGATTCTGAGGATGATGACGGCGACGACGGTCAGGACGACGATGTTCATGTTGATGTTGGTGTTGATGTTGGTGGTGAGTAGTATGCGAATGATGATGGTGGTGATGATGATGATGTTGTTGGTGTTGACGATACTGATGCTGATGCTGATGCTGATGATACTGGTGATGGCGATGATCATGTTGGTGATGGTGGCGGTGGCGGTGGCGGTGGAGGTTTAGATTGTGAGATGGTGATGCTCATGATGTTATGGTGATGGGAATGGTGATGATGACGATGCCGATGATGGTGGTGATGATTCTGTGCTGAAGAGGAGGAAGAGGCCGAGGAGTAGGAGGAGGGGAGCAGAAGGAGGATACGCAGGAAAGGAGGAGGAGGGGGAGGAGGAGGAGGAAGACAGGGCAAGGAGGCTGGTTGAGGCGGAAGACGATGAGGCGGGCTCATTGAACAGCAGGAGGGTGGGAGGAGAAGCGGACTCTTTGTACACTGCTGCGATCCCCAGCCTCGCCGTGCAGGCGCACGACGTAGCGTGCACCTCTGTGCAGGACTGCCCGACGAAGAACTTGCTCGTCACCGCTGGGTGGGAAGGGGGGGCTACTGGATATTAATGAGGAGGAGGAGCATGAAGACGAGGAAACGCGGAGGAACGGGGGGTGATGATGAAGCGGATGATGAGGAGGAGGAGGAACAGGCGTCATAGGCATACACAACAGAGGGCTGGAGATGGAGGAAGGAGGAGGATGAGGCATGATGCAGAAGGGGGAGCGAGGAGTCGTGAGAGATGATGGGGAGAGAGACGGACGAGGATCAGCAGCCAGAGCATCCGTAGCGGTGGCGACGCCAGCGGCTGCGGCAGGAGGAGACGTTCGTAGGAGGGTCATTGGTTGGTAGCCTCGGACTCGGATTTTTCGACCAGACGAAGAGGGATCACCCCACCATTCCAGGCTGGCCGCGTCTGCTTGCCCTGCTGGCCATGCCTACGGTCGAGTATATGCCGCAGCTACATCTGACACTGGCCTAGCTTCCCCCCTGTCCTCCCAGCTAGAAGTGCTGGAGCGGGAGAGGTTACATGACATGGGGCCATGTAGCACCTGCTCATGAGCATCCTCCTCCTCCAACTCTTCATCCTCACCCCGCTGATTTGTTCCATGGCCGCTCTGTCGGACCTAAGTCGCCACCTACCGAAACAGCGCGTCGCCCTTGTGCGGGCATATCCTGTGCCTCGCGGCTTGGCATCTGTCCTCGCCGAGGAGAAAGAACTTCGCCTCGACGGAGCGGAACACCTCGCAGCAGCTGCGGACAAGAGCGAGGCTCGCAAAGTTTGGCCGCTTAGAAAAAGGGGGAACCTTGGGATACACCCCAAGGGGCTATTCGCACGCATCCCATCTCGAGGATGGACGCCCTCCCATCGTACATCCCAGGGTGGGGCCAGAATTTCTGGTCCGCTCGAAAACCCCACGAAGCCTGGGACAGGGATCGACATCTCCCCCGTGACACGCGGGTCGCATCGCGGGCTGCGGCGGACTCGGGCGGCAGAGCGGGCGGGTCGCGAACGGATCGTCGGCGCGCCGGTCGCTGGGCGGGCCGCGCCCGGTGCGGCTGGCAGGGCGGGCCGGGTCGCCAGCAGGTCGTCGGCTCGTCGGGCTGCTGGCGGCGTCGCGAGGCGCGGAGCGGAGGAGCAGGTCGCGGCGGGCACGGGTCGCCAGCGGTGCGGGCGGGTCGCGGGCGCCTCGTGGGGCGGGTCGCGGCGGGCGGGGGTCGCAGGGCTGGAGCGGGGTGGCGACAGGGCTTGGCCGCAGGGCGGGCCGCGGCGGGCCCGGATGTGGGCGCGTCGCCCTCGGCATCGCTCGGGCGTGTGCAGCTTTTCTCGGCGAGGGCCGTCGAGGAGCATCCTGGATCATCGAGCTACAAAAAAGTGCACGAAACCAAAAGACGCACGGGGAAAGGACGTCGGAGCGACGGCAAGCGCAGGCGTGTCATAGCCTGGCCGAGTTCAGCTGGCCGAGTTCAGCCTACGTGCCCGATTTGTTCCTGGCCGAGTTCAATTGTTTACTGCCGTCGCACGCGTGTCGCTGGAGCCAGTTTTTCTTTTTCTGGGGCGATGACGGCCGTCACCGGGCTGGGGGAGCGGGAGGGTGACGTCACGTTTCGCGCCAGCGGCGTTTGGAAATGCCCAGGAATGACCGAGGACGGGTAGCAGCAGCATGTAGGTGGCGATCTGCACCACAGCGCCTGTGTGCACCACAGTGCCTGCGTGCACCACAGCGTTTGTGTACACCGCAGCGTCTGTGTACACCACAGCAGCCGCGTGCAACACAGCGCCAGTGGGCACCACAGTTCCCGCGTGCACCACAACGTTTTGTGTACTCCACAGCGCGTGCGTACATCGTATCAGCCGTGTGCAACACAGCACACCACACTGCCTGTGTGCATCCTTGCACTTGTGTACACCACGGCGCACGTGTACACCACAGCAACCGTGTGCAACAAAACACCATGGTTGTATATAGGAGTTTGGAAGGAAGCCTGATGCGAAAATGCAGAGCCTGTGGACTCCACAGAAACAATTGTTTTATACAGGATGCGGAAGGAAATCCTCATGGAAAAAAGATCGCCTCTCGAATCTACTTTGCGTCCTTGCCTCAGCCCGTCTGGGTGCCGGCAACTCGCCGCCCAAAGGTGCCAACTTCGGCGTCCGAGGCCCTTGCGTCCTTACCGCCCGTCCTCACTATAGATCTCGACTACAGCTGTCCGCAGCAGGCAGCAGGTCATCATATCCCACGTGCTCTTTCTATTTGTCCTGTTCACGCAGGCGCCGTGGTGGTGTGCACGGGCGCTGCGTTGCACGCGGTTGTTGCGGTGTACACGTTCGCTGTGGTGTGCGCAGGCGCTGTGGTGAACGCACGCACTGTGGTGTACACGGGCGCTGCGTTGCACACGGCTGTTGCGGTGTACGCAGACGCTGTGGTGTACGCGCGCGCGCTGTGGTGCACGCGAGCACTGTGGTGTACACAGGCGCTGCGGTGCAGATCGCCACTTTCATGCTGTTCCTATTGGCGTCGGTCATCCCTAGGCATTCCCGGACGCCGCCCGCGCAGAACGTGACGTCACCTGGGAGGGGCGCGGGGCCGGTGACGGCCGACACCGCGGAAAATGAGAAAATTGGCTTTGGGTGGCTCGCGGGCAGGGTCGCGAGGCGGGTCGGAAGCGGACCGCAGGGCGGGGGCCGCGACCACGACAACCACGGTAACAGTCATATTCACATGGTGCTCGTGGATTCATCCAAGACGTGGACACTGTAATGCCCCAAGCGGACCCTGTTGGACGGTGGGGTCAGGGCGGGACCTCGTTCATATGCTAATTGACTTGAGCGGTCGGGTGGGGTCGGCACTTACGAACACCCAATCTGGCTGGACACCTCACCTGGGTGACCCTGTGCGCTGTGGCTGCTGCCTTCCCCGAGACGGCATGGCAGGGGTTCGTTGGTTACACTCACGCGCCGAGACAAGACGGGAGGAAGAGGTGCGCCCCGCTGCCAACGCTGCGGTCCGCGTGCACCCTCGTGCCCATGCGTTCTGGAATAGAGCTTAATCAGCCTTTGCAGAGACGCAGCAACGTGTGAGCAACGCAGGCGACACTGGGGAGCCTGCACGCACTACTATACGACGTATGATGCCAGGGTTAGAGCCTGGCACCTGGTTCCCAGCCGATTTACTCGATAGTGGGCCAACGCGGAATATCTCCCCGTCATCGTCTTCCTGGCCGATGTCGGTGTCTCTCCCATCGAGCTCCCGCTAGATGGCGCAGCCTGGCTCGTCCTGTGGCTTGGCGACGTCAAGTTGCACAGGCCCGTCTGCCGTCGACCCGACGACTTCCCCCACGCAGTCCGCAATCGGTCTTTCTGGCGCCTACGGCAAACCAGGGCCCGCACCGCCCCCACGCAGCGGCGGCAGCAGCGGCGCTTGTTCCGCGTTCAACCCGATCATGCAGTGGGCACCACACCCCCGCCTGCACTGCGGCTCTCCCTCACGCCGCCGCTAAGAGCCCCGAGTCGCGAACTTTGCCCACCCGCCATGCTCGCGGCGGTGGCTGGGGCGAGGCTCCTGTGCCTTGCTGCCCATGACAGAGAGAGAGTGCAGCCAGGCGCCCCGCGTGCATCAACCTGCGCCCTCGAGTGGCTGGCCAGGCCCTCCTGGTCTGTGGTCTCGATGCTTCCTCCCTCCGTCTCTCTTTGCCTGTTGGCGCGCGGCAGCGAATGGTTGGGCAGCGGAGCTCTGTGACCAGCTGGGCGGGTTGGGCAGCGGAGCTCCGTGACCAGCTCCGTGACCAGCTGGGCGGGCAGCGGAGTACGAAAGTTATATTAGCAAGGATGTGAGTTATAGGACGATGGTTAGAATTATCTATGTTATTGCTCTCGCTCGCTCATGCTTGCACTCTCTTGTTCACTATTGCCATTTGTGGCTTGGACCCGCCGAGCTGAGGCGGGAGGGTAGACGCACCTATCGAACGCTGGGTTTGATTCGGTATAAGATATCCTATCATCCGCCTGTTTCTCATTGCGTCAAAAGGTTGTGGGTGGAGAGATCTGGATCATTATTTACACTGGTAGCGGGGGCTGAATCAGTCCACGGTACGAGGATTACATACAGAGTGGCCGTGCAGACATATATGCTGGCGCTCACGTACATCCTCGCGGTGCTTAACCACTGCGCTCATCAACAGATCACGGTGGTCGACAAAACGCTCAAAAACATTACCTACAACAGCTTGGGCGAGGATCGTTGCATCAACAGCATCCCGGGCGAGCAGCAGAACTACAGCAGCAACGGTCAAGACAGCTACTACATCAGTGACAAGCTCAGTAGCATCACAGCCATCAAGATGACGTCCAGGCAGCAGCAGCAGTTCATTGACGGCCCCCTCTTCGTTGACAAGGAGGGCGTAGTACACTACAACGGCGACCCATCCTACGGCGAGGAGTTCGAGGAGCGTGCAATACGCGGCTACCACGCGAGCGAGGAGAATATCAAGAAGCTCTACGCGATCAAGCTCACGAATTCTCTGAATGGACGAGCGTGGACGCTCGCACGAAAGAAGGTTGAGATCAGTACGCATGCAGTTTTGGACGAAGCAGGTAATGACCCACTTGCTGCAGTCAAACTAGTGGTAACTACAGTATGACAAGCGTGCGAAAGGATCGCACCACTACAGAAGCAGCAAGCGTTCGAGGAGTATTTCTTCCGAGGTTTTCGCAATCGAACGGAGTCTGCGCAGGGCTACATCTCGAGACGAGAGACGGAGCACGAGCGGCTCAAGTCACTTTCAACGAACACGACGGTCAGCGAGGACCCGCGGACATACTTTCTACTGAAACTAGCGAACATCAGCATGCAAGAGCACAAGGCAACCCTTGGCCAATGCAACAACGAATGCATCTGGGACGACGTGACGGCCGCCATGCTGATACAGCTGGACAGCACAGGCCGAAATGATCGTGGACATGGGCGATGCGGAGCCTACCCGGTGGACTACGACGACGAAGAGGAAGAAGCTCTACTCGGAGATGAATGTGCACCGTGC